AAGATGTCCTGACATCCTTTTGCACAACAAAGTAAAGAAGTTTTTCCTAATATTCCATCTAAACCTCCCCTGGCACAACTTGATGCCTTTTCGTCTTGTCTCATAGCTTGTTACTTGCAAGAAGAGACCAATCTCCACCTTGTTACACCCTCCTTTCAGGTAGTTGTAGAGAACAATGTTTCCCCTTAGACTCCTTTTCTCCAGGCTAAACAATCCCAGACCGCTCCCCAGTTATAAGCTGCTCCTTATAAGACTTGTTCTTGAGAATCCTCACCAGCTTTGTTGCTCTTCTCTGGACATGCTCCAGAACCTCAGTGTCATTCCTCTAGTGAGAGGCCCAAAAGTGAACACAGGGCTCAAGGTGAAGTCTCAACAATGCTGAGGCCAGGGGCACGATCAGTGCCCTGGTCCTGCTGGCCCCAGCATTCCTGATACAGGCCAGGATGCCGTTGGCCTCCTTGGCCACCTGGGCACACTGCTGGCTCATGTTCAGCCGGCTGTAAACCAACACTCCAAGTCCTTTTCTGCTGGCCAGCTTTCAAGCTGCTCTTTCCCAAGCCTCTGGTGCTGCCTGGGTTTGCTGAGACCCACGTGCAGGATCCGGCACTTGGCCTTGTTGAACCGCATACAATTGGCCTTGGCCCATTGATCTAGCCTGTCCAGATCCCTCTGTAGATCACCCCTGCCCTCCAGCATATCAACACTCCTGCACAGCTTTGTGTCATCTGCAAACTTACTGAGGGTATGCTCGATCCCCTAGTCCAGGTCATTGATAAAGATATTAAACAGAACTGGCCCCAGTACTGAGCCCTGGGGACACCACTTGTGACCAGCCACCCACTAGACTTAACTCCATTCACCACTATGCTTTGGGCCTGTCTATCCAGCCAGTTTTTTACTCAGAGAAGAATACATCCATCCAAGTGATGACCAGCCAGCTTCTCCAGGAGAATGCTGTGGGAAATGGTGTCAAGGGCTTTACTAAAATCCAAGTAGACAGCAACCACAGCCTTTTCCTCATCCACCAAGCAGATCACCTTGTCATAGAAGGAGATCAGATTAGTCAAGCAAGATCTGCCTCTCATAAACAGCTTAAGTAGATGAATAAAAATTATCTTCTCTCCAGTTGGTCCAATAAAAAATACAGTTTTGTGTTTCTGTGATGCACTAATCAAGGGTTAAATTTTGAGGAGCTTACCAGGTGTTCCAGTAGGTGCTAGCCATCATTTGAGATGTTAACCTGAAGCAACTGCCATCCTCCTAAAAATAGTCAACTTCCAATGGAAGTGTTTAATACTGCCCCTTCAAATGTGAAGTACAAAAAAAATTTTCCTCAGCTTTATACAAGACAGAGCTGTTGGACAGGTAATATTCAATAATGAATAAATGGCAAGGGTAAGAGATGAGTCTGCAATTCATCAGAACTAGACTGCATTTTAAACAGAGAATATGTGTTTTCTTCTTGGAAACTCACACATCAGCACTGTGGGAATCTTATTAATAGAAAAAGCTATTTTAGATATCTAGAAGTTATTTAAAACTGTATTACTTAGAGTTTTCCCCTCTGAGTTCTAGGAAATTGGACTAATGATATGCACAAATGAAATTTTATACTGTGAGGGAGGAGCCCAAAAAATCCCTGTGATTTCTCATTAAAATATGTCTCAAAAACACAGTTACTTTTCCTCTTAAATATTTGGTACGGTAAAAATGTGAGAAATCATATTAAGGTACAAGGATTTTACTAACAGCTCTTTGAGATATTTAATTAATAATTTGTGGGACAAGAAATCCTTATCCCAGTGCAAAAGCTTTGGGATCACAGGAAAGTGCAGTTCACTGCTTCCTAATTGAATATAAGAATATATTCTCTCAGATCTTTTTAGTTATAGCAAGCACTGACGTACTAGCACTACAGCAACTTCACTGCAGCCATGCAGTCAGAGCTAGAACTGCAAACTCATCCAGAAACCATTGCCAAAGAAAATCCCCTACCTTGCTCATTATTTTTTCTAATATTCCCGGGAAAACCAGAACAATCTTGAGACAGACAACAATCTCATTTTGTAGTTTTCTCCATTTTTGTTTACTTGCTTGCCATGAAAATATTTGCAATTCCACAAAAAGAATCAAAACTGTTCTCATCTGTCTTCTGATCCAGTTTGATCTGTTTAGCTGTACAGGCGATTACAGGTAAGTGAATGATTTGAAATCTCCATGATGAGATTCCAAACTTTCTTCTCTCTGATCCAGAGTGGAGCATTCCCTTCTAAATCACGTAAGATAATCCCATAAGCTTCAGTTTCTGCAGACATTTTAGTCAAGAGACTGCTACTGCAGCAATCTTTTTTTTCACTGAAAATATTCTTATCATCTCCTGTTCTCTGACACCTTTGAAGACCTCTTGTGAGAATCAAACATTGTCCAAACATGGCTCACCAGTTTAGCTTCTGTTGGATGATTTGTTGGTCTAAATATGGCTTCAATTCTGTCTGAAGATTAAAGATTCAACAGCATGCATGTCACTGCCAATTTCAACCACCTGTCACTACTCTCAAGTATGTTTTAGCTGTGATATTTACCTACTTGCTGTTGTTTTATAAACAGAGAGAAAATTATGAATATCTTAGCACTTAACCTTTCCAGATACCTTACCTTCTGATTTAGTATCCAGTCCTCACTCCTTCTTTAGAAGATGTCCCACACCATACCCACATCAATTACATACCCTTTGATAATTTAGCAGCTAAATGACTAGCATATGAAAGTTTTCATTGTGAAGCAGCATCTAAAAACTTTAAAATATGCAAGACATTTCATAATAATGTCTTACAAAGATAATTAATATTTCCAATACGTATTAGTGTCTATGTCTGTATGCACGTGTAGTATGTGAAATAAAAGCATAGCCAATAAAGACAGTATTGTATAAATTGAGATAAAAACTTCTCTGTAATTTATACCATAATAACAAGGGCAGCTCCGTTGAATTATTAATAGGTGGTCTGCCAACGCAAGAGATTCACTAAGACTGGAAATCCCTGCAATAGTTTTGGCAAAAAAGTGCTAAACAGTTCAGCACTGCAGTCCTGGGGTGGGTTTTTATTTAATATTTCTCTTTAAATTAGTGAATTTATGTCTACTATGATGTAGAATTATGGTATAAACAGCATTTACGGTTAATCAAATTTATTAATTTGATTATGCAGTGTCCCAAATAGAAAGGTTCAAATCTATGTTTATGATTGTTTAGTACAGTCATGTTAATGAGTCTTGGAAACAAAAAATCTGGACAAAAGTTGACTGTGGAAAGGATGATGAGTGCTATGATGTTGTGTCTGAGGCAGGACCTAGAGCACAGAGTTTTCTAATATTCACTAGCACTTCCAGTTAAACACTTAAATTAAAAAGAGGTAACAAAAACATTGAAAGGAAGAAAGCAACACCTTGAGTATAAGCTAGAGGGATGAGCATATTGGAGGGAAAGTGAATAAATAGGAAAAACATGAAAACTACTGACGAGCAGAAAGCACATCATTTAAATGCACTTGAAAGAACAGTGGTCACTGATCAGAAGCATTTGAAAATTTCTTCCTTGTTTTCCAAGAAAGGTCTGATACGGCCTCTACACTACCTCTACAGAGAACTGGTTATGCTAGAATGATCTAGGTTTGTGTCTTTGTTCTGTAAACAGACTTTATTAGCATCCATAATCACATTTTCTAGGGGATCATTTTCATTAGCGATGTACAACACTACAAGAAGAAAGTAAAAACTTCCTTAGCCTTTATCCATCTCAATTCTTAAGCAGCAACCCCTTAAAATCTTATGCTTGAAGGTTTAGAGTAGCCACTGAAAAGGAACTACGTTTCCCTTTTTTCCGCACAAACCAGTAGAAGGTGTCTGTCCATTAGACTTCCTGACACACCTGAGTCCCATGATCAAAGTGCTGACAAAACAATTGATGTTTATTTTATGTCTATTACCTCCTGTTTGTGTCTTGTTTATGATTTGTTAGTGTATTTAGCTTTCAGGTTGAAACTATAAAATATATCTTAATGTTACTAGGATATTTTCTGTTTAAAGATGATCCAAGGGCTGGAGAACCTCTCCTACGAGCATAGGCTGCGGAAGCTGGGTATGTTCAGTCTGGAAAAGAGAAGACTGGGGGGACTTAATAACTGCCTTCCAATACCTGAAGGGAACCTACAGGGAGGCTGGGGAGGGACTTTTTACAAGAGCATCCACTAATAGGACAAGAGGAAATGGCTTTAAGTTGGAGGAGAACAGATTTAGATTGGACCTTAGGAAGAAATTCTTCAGTACAGGGGCAGCAAGACTTTGGAATAAATTGCCCAGAGGCGTTGTGGATGCTCCTCCCTTGGAGACGTTCAAGGCCAGGTTGGATAGAGCCTTGAATAGCGTGATCTAGTTGAGAGGCATCCCTGCCCATGGCAGGGAGGTTGGATTAGAGAGTCTCTTAAAGTCTCTTTTACAATCCAGGCCATTCCACAGTTCTGTGATTAAATGGAGATAGTTACTGAACTAATCATAAAATTTAAAAGATGATTTTTTTACAACCTTGTATTTTTGATTCCTTTCTACCACAATCTTGTGTTTCAATTGATCTTGTCTGAGGTTTACAATTCTGTAATACTTCCTTTTTTTTTTTTAAGCTGTAAGGAGCAGAAAAGACCACCCACTCTCAGGAAGAACTCTCCATGTACTTGAATATGAGAAATAACAACCTTATAGTCAGATAACAAAAATGTGTCAGATATTTTCCTGTGGTTGAACCATACTTCACACATGGTATTTCATACAATTTGGCAAGTATAATTACTGCCAGAGAGCTGTAAAAATTTAGGGGTGACTGTTCAATGGAAACAAGTAAGAAAATAATTATTAGTAAATGAGTAAGAATACACACATATGCTCATTTCCTTGTGATATAGTTAAAGGACACATGTATAAATAACTGAATACCTTAACCAACTTACCAATTTCCACTGGGAGATGACTGATTTGATTTTTTGACAACTCCAGTACCCTCAAATCTTGAAATAATGCAATGTAGGTTGGAATTGTTTGTATCAATGTATTGTACACATGCCATTCTTTCAGATAAATCTGTTCTTTTAGAGAATCTGGGAATTCCTGTAAATTAAACAAGAAGAGTTAAATAGAAAGCTTCAAGTTAGCATTTTGTTTTCCTGTAATTCTAAATACAGGGGGAAAAATATGCCACAGCCAAACCTCAACACTTTGCCTTAATTATCTTGATGCAGAACAGCAGTTTGCCAAGCCCTCACAGGAGCTGTTTGCTTTTGAAGAGTATTGCAGCTGTCTGTCAACACATATTTATTTTTTAACTGCTAATGCAATCACTTTGCTCTAAAACTGAAACTTATGTGAAGCACTCAACCTGTTTGGTGTCTTCTATATTATCTCCTTTTTCCAGATGGAGGATTTTTTTAAAACACATTTCAGTGCTTTAATTCACACATCAAGATGTAGTAAAATGCAACACAGAACAGAAGAGCAGGTGTATGGAGAATACTTAAATAGGGTTTGCCACAAAAGAGAAAAAAAAAAAAAAGTGTGACTACATTCTTAATACCTGCCAATGTTTCAAAATTTCTTTGCCAAAATAGGACGCATTCCAAGGAACAGAAACATTTCAGATAATAGGATAGATACACATCACCTTTTGAAAGTCTATTTTCAAATAAGTGCCTTAACTTCCTAAGTTATTTTAGCATTGTTTAAAAAATGTTAATAAGTTTGTTTAGGGACAATAAAAATACTCATTTTTTTAAATGAGTCCACAACTGTATTATTTCTTTCTTTAATGATGTAGAAACCTTTTCTTTACGAATCTTAGTATAGTTCCAAACACACAGCAAATAAATTTGTTTCTGAGTAATTTTCAGACTATTCTGTTTGTCCAAAATCCCAAATGTATAACAGCTGCTGAAACAGAAAGTTCTAAAGCCTTTAATTCTTACCAAATTACTTTAGTTAATTGGTATTCAGTTCAGATATAGAGATCTTTTTTTGAATTATGTCATCAAACTCCTTGAAGCTGAAACAGACAAAAATCAATTCATAAAGTTGAAGGTCAAATCATTTAAACTCCACTTTCTAAAGCAGCACATAGTTTACCAGTCTATCCTGGGTTTTATGTCACTATACATTGGTAACATACGGGATAAAAAATGTGGATGAAGTACTATCATTAACTTTGCTCCATAAAAAGAGTTTCAGCCTTTAATTTCTCTGCAAATTCCAAATTTGTTTCCTGTCCATAAAGAATACAGCACAGTAGGTATTACTAGTTTTTATACAGAGAATATTGCCCACTTTTTTCTTCTAGATTTCATAGATACTCCAAGACATTAACAAGAGTGATGCATTTTAATTGTGTTTTATTAATCTTTAACTTCTGACCTAGGGAATAGTGCTACTTAATTCTTCACTATATTAAAACAGCTAATTGTAATTAAAGATAGATTGGATTGTTGATCATAAACTGTTCTTTGTTTTGTTGTTGCTGCCTCTAATTTCAGTTGTTTTGAGAATTACATGTGCAGACATTTAGCCTATATATGTAGTTCTGCCTTGATACGTGTGTTTCCATATTTGATATGGATCATTTCATTTCTTGCATCATTTTCCCACTAGTTTTATATTGCGTTGTGATTCTTCTTCTATATTGTCAGTTTACGGCAGTTAAAAAATAAAATGCCTGAAATGCCTTAGGGCAGGTAATGAGAAATCTCTCCAACATTCTGGAGCGGGTTTCCATTCCTCCACCTTCAGTGCTGCACATTTTTCTGCAGTGAAATAAAAGAATAAATACCAACTGCAAATTCAACTAGTATTGTCTCTCTCACCTGTACAGAACTGAAAATGCAACACGCAGCGGATAGCATTTATCTGGAGTGTCATACATCCCATTGTAGGAAAGAACCCTGATCCACAGAGAAAGCAGATGCAGAACAGTCATAGTGAAGGGGAAAAGATATCTGAGAAACAGATACCATTTGCTGCTGTCCAGGTTTTTGCCTTTCTGGTGATATATTGGGTTTTGTACGTTGCTGTCACATACTCCTTACTGGCAGGGAGAAAATGGGAACAATTGTCACTGTGAAGCCAACAGCAGCCTAGTTGTTCTCCCAGACTGAAGTGGGTATCCCACAAACTTCTCCTCAATATATTGCAAATAGTGCAGCACATGAAGCACTGTCTCAGATTAAGAGCAAACTCCCTCGTAATTTTAGAAAAATTAAGCCAAATTATTTAAAATTGATTTATTACTAATGCATAAAATATTTTTAAAAATCTTTACTTCTGTATTAAGGGTAATTTAAAGCACAAAGATATTCTTGTACAGTGTCCAAAACAAATTGAGACATGACTTCAAAAGAATAGAAAGAGATTCCATTCTTCTACCAATTGTCCTGGCTTTTCTTTCTTGCAATTATTTCTTTCTTTTTTTTACAATCATATTTGCAATTTTCAAATGTTACTTTACAAATACTTTGCTATAATGTGTTTTTTAGGATTCTCCATCTTACAATACATTCTTGTGGCTGAAACATAAATTGATGTGATATTTTACTTCATTTACAAACTAGATAGGGATGGGAACTGAAATTTGTACAAGCCTTACTTTTGCTTTACTCTCTGATTCCCTTGTGTTCTTCTGTAATCTGCTGCTGCCACACAAAAGCTGGCAGTCTGCTGATAAATTACTCCATGAAGACTGACACTTGGAAGATAGCCAGTCTTTTGCCCTTAGCAGCAAAACAACACCTCAAACTCTTTTGATTTAGTGGAGAGGGGAAAAAAAGCCTACTCAAAGGAAATAAATAGCAAACCTACAACCATTACTGAATTTACTTTTTCTAACTGGGAGGGAATTTACCTGATAGATATAAGCCTGATCTAAAACTGTGATCAAAGCTCTGAGAAGTTTCAATTCTGTTTCTTTTTCAGACAGTTTCATCTGTTGTGGGACAAACCAAACACGAATCCAAATCTCCCTCATCTCTGAGAAAATTTGGAACTACTTCCAAAAAGCACCCATGTTACATGGCTGTCAGGAATTTTATACTTCTTTTGGGAAAAAAAAAATAATCTCTACAAGTTAAATAAGCACTAGAGAGATTTTTCTCTGTCCATTCAATGCAGTAATCCTACCTGACCCTTTGTGACAAATAAATACCTCATTGTCAGTAAGAAATCCAAATAACAAATGGAAATTCTCTCTTCTCTCTGAAAATACACAGCTTGTTCGATGATAAAACTGGCAGAATAAATACAAATGTAGTAATTAATTTGCTGCCTTTTTCTGTGAAGAAAAGATATGCAAGGGTATGATTTATGAGTAAAGAATTTTACCATCCCTCATTCATTTACTTGTTGTGCACTTTTGATGTTAAATTTGTTTAAAATCAGTAGGCATCCAGATCTTCTGCTTAGGCAAAGCAGCACAGCCAAGAACAGTCCTGTTCTGTACTTGAGTGAACATCATCACCTTGCCTTTGCCAATATCGGTAACATAAATTCAAAAATTTTTTTCTAAATATTTTCTGAAAATCATTTAAAATTCACTGATCCACTAGAGAGTAAACATTCATTAGTTAGGCGCAGAAAGTAAACACTCAAAGAGGAAAAACAGAGTTAAAGCGAATTCATTGAAAAATTCATATGAATATTCATGGCATTATTTTGCTACAGTTTTCATTCTGCTCTAATAGCAGTGCTGTTTCTCTGAAGAACTAATTTAATTCAGTAGATACGTGTTTACATGTACAAAGGATATCAATTAAGTGTTTCATCAACTCTCCATCATTCTCTCCTAGGCAACTGATTCAAACACAAAATTCAAGAGTCCAAAGTCCTTATACAACTTCTTTTCATAGTGGGTTTGCCTGGAAAATTCTCAGACAAACAAAAAGGTTTTTCCTGAAATGTACCTTGGGAACCTCAGATTACTTGTGGTGCAGTACGCCACTCTCATGGTGTCACCCAGGGGTTTTGTAAGCACAAGAAGACTTAAGAGACTCACAACTGGGGCAGTAAGGGTTCTGCTCATTTTTTATAGAGAAGAGAAAAGCCTGTCTGATTTAATTTACAATGTTGGATTATGAGACTAGCCGGTTTGTTGTTATAAGACATTTTCTTTCTTAAATAAAAATACTAATTCATTCAATTTCCCAGCTAGCAGAAGTGAACCGCACAGGAATGGAGTTGACACAAGTCATAAATGTTTGATCGGTATGTAAAAGAGGAGGTGAGGACCACTGGACCTTAAAGATGTTGTCACACAGGTGGAGCTCTGACAGACAAAGGTAAAATTATCTCAACGTGTTATCAATCACTGTCCACATCCAGAAGCTAGCTGTTCTGGACGGGCATGGCCGAACCAGTACCAAAGTTACAGGAGGACTTTCAGATTCAGATGGTCTCGATGAGTGTATGTTCTTCAGACATAAAGGCTTGATACTAAACCTGCTTACAGCGTTGCAGTTGAGAAGATTTCCACGTAGTTAGTGTGGCCATACTTGACATTTCAAGTCAAAGTGCATGTCTCAAAAACTTAGCTTAGAAGTGAATGATAACTAGTAGGAATTACTGATCCTTAAGAAATAATGGATCTGCACAAGCAGAATACCATTCCCCAGAGTTCATACGCTGTAAAACCAATCCCTGCTCCCTTTATCTAGTAGTCTGTGCTTATTTGTCTAACTTAATATTCATTGTATGAGTTTATCTTTCTTCAGATAAGTTAAAATAATTATAAGCATGAGGAACAGTGGGTCACCACATAGTGAAAATACCTTATCATTTCAAGAATTATTTTTTTTTAAGAGAGGGGAAGAGACACAGAGCTCTTGAAGGAAGGAATTCCTATTAGGAATTCAAAAGGTGTGGTCTGCTCTGACTTGGTCCCTTATAAATGTTCTCAGAAGGAGATCCAAGATGATATTCAAAAAAGCACTATCCAAGTGATTATCAAAATAGTTATCCAAGTTATCCCAGTATAGGATGGAGTGTTTTACAAAACCCATTTTTAACCTCATACTGAGCCATGCAGAATCAGTGGCCCAGATTCATTGCTATGCTGTATGGATGTGGAGCATGAGACTATTGCATCTTTGCAACATATTTTTACCATGTAGACAGCCTGGGCACTGATTATTTTGCAACACAAGCTAGCATTCCAATTGATTGCAGCATTGCAAATAACACCCTTACTTGATCTGTGGACTTTGGTTATCCATTTGCTGTTGAAGTTTCCAGTGAGAGCACTTACACTGAGACCTACAGGCAGGATGTGCCAAAGCCTCTTGCTTTGAGCTTGAAAAATCCCTGTACCAGGTATTACTCCTCCGTGAGACTTAACTTCACAGTGTCTAGAAAGAGAACTGGTACAGCCCAGAAGAAAGCCCTGTTCTGGAAATTAAATCTGTAAGTCATACCAACAACCTACTCAGATTTAGCTGTCAACTGTCTAGAGGATTTATTACTGCTTCATTCATGAGAGAAAAGGGGAAACATAATAGAAATACTTATCAGCTAAAAGCAAGTGAGATAGAGGATTCAGCAGCTAGTTCCCAAATGGACACTTCACAGGGCTGTGCTGTTTAGCTGTTGCCAACAGTAAGTGGCCAGCCAACAACAAACCAAGCTGGTCAGGTGCTTGTAAAACTGTACAGGCAATCCCAGCTCTGACTTCTCCTAGTGTTTGAGTGCTTAATTTTCCAAGCTTTCAACTCATAGATGCATTTGTGTGCAAAACACATTAGAAAAACTAGACCATAATTGATGCCCCAGCTTCCAGCTACATAACTACAGGTTTCTTTGAGGAAACTGTCATATGTCCATAGATCTTTTCACATGCAAATTGCCAGCTTGTGCAGTTTTGGTTGTATAGTCTGAAAATTCATATTGCCTAAGTGCACTTTTTTGTGAGAGAGTCATAAGGGAAAAGGGTGTCACGCCTGATTCTGCCTTTGGTTTAGAAGCAGCACTTGAGATTAAAATAAAGCCAAATAAGTGCTATGATTTGTATAACAGATACAATTTTTTAAAAATTCTGCAATAAGGGGAAATACAGTTCTTTCAGAACTTTATCAAGTGGATTTTCACATTTTTTGTATAATTTTCAGCTTTTAGAGACTGGCAATGTTCTTTCATTTTAAGGGGGCATTGGTCTTGTCTAAATAAAGCATTTTTTATTTCATCTTTGTCTGCAAACACCTGAATTATGTAACAGTATCTTGCTGAAACAGGGAGTCCACTTTAACCAGGATAGAGCTGAACAGTGAGACACAGTGGTTGTGTGACATGGCCTCAGTTATCATATGATGTGAAGACAGAATCAAAGCATGTGGTGTTTAGCAGTGTACTGTTCAAGGTGGCATAATGTACATAACAACACACTATACACTAATATATCTTAAATGTGATCTTTCAGCACATCAAAATGAAGTTAAACGCTCAAGAAAACAAAGCAAATTATGTAGGTTTGATTTTGACTCCTAAGGCAAAGCCTTGTTAAAGGTGACAGAGCAAAATGTTAGTTGTTTGGCAAAAGAGAATAAGAAACAGAAAATACTAGCTACATAGATCTCAGCTGCCTGATGCACTGAAAATATTTGCAGTTGCAACTATATCGGTGCCTAATAAGCTATAACTTCTTCTTTTTTTTCTTCTAATGTACCTACAAAGTCTACGACACAGGAAATTGTGCAGTATAAGACTACACAGCTTTAACAGCATTTTCAATATCCCAAGGTTCTTGACAGATGAGACATGATAGCTCGCCAGCAACCAGTTCTGCCACATGAATAACTGGAATCAGCTGAAGAAAGTCTCCTTACTAGATCTGGATGGGAACCAGCATTTTCTATTTTACAGGTATTTCCTCTACTTTACCTTTAAGAAAAGAACTAAAGACATAAAAAAACCCCATAAACTGAAAAAGAAACACTTTCATATTCAAGAACAAATCCAGGATAGTCATATTTCAATTCTATAAAAAGAAATGGTTTAGTAAAACTTATTCATTTTGTCAACTGACTTTTTAACTTCCGTTTTTTGTAATGAATATCTCAAAAATCTATTTCAGAATTATAAACTACACAAAAGTCAAAATCCTAATTTTACCCTTTCATTAATAATGTATATTCAAAATATATTTCAAAGCTTTAATAATTCTAGAAAACTTCAGACCAAATCTAATACATCTTTTGCTGATTTTCAAAACAGAATTAATTTAGAGCTTGCCTCCAAACTACTATTTCATATCAAACTCCAACACAAGTAAAAAGTGGTTTTTTCAGCAAGACCATTGTGGATTGATGTTAATATTAGTTTTGATTTGAACAGAGATTGAGAAAAATCTTATCACACCATTAGAGCAAGAAGACACATCTCTGAGTAGTAGAAGACATCAACAAGCCAACAAAGGTCAATATTATTTTCATCTCTTTCCACCAGAGAAAGATATTGCAGTATGATTGCTTATACTTTTTTGAGAGCACTACGAGTAGAAATTTTAAAATAAGCATATTTGAAAACTAAACCACTAGTTCAGGATAAAATAAGAAATGCTTTTGTCACTTCTAACACTGTGGAAAAAACATCAATTTCTTACACATTGCCAAAAAAAAATTAAAAAATATAAACGGGGAGATTAAAAGATATGGTTCTAAGCTACCCAGTCTTTAACAATAGAAATGTATTTCCCATTATATTTACCGTCCACTGCTCTCCAGAAAGCTTTAAAACAAACTTGCTTTCTTCCTTATTTACTTCATCTGACAAAGCATGCCTCTTCTGGCGCTGAGGAGTCTTTCCATAAGCGTCCAAGATCTTCTCATCAGTGTCTACAAAACCATTCTTAAGGTACTTTGATTGAGGAATGCCCTTCTTCCGGCATTCTAGTATGAAATTCCATTCCTGAAACTGCTTTATCCTGAAATAGTGTCAAAAAGGGGTTGTGTGAATCAGCTGAAACAGTATGTCAAGTAAGTCTTAAAGCTCAATCTTTGTTTGTGTAAGTACTTAAAAAATATAATCATGCATGTAATGTGTTGACCATTTAAAAAAGAAGAAAAAAAAAAAAAAGGGATTCCTGGAGTCAGACGCCTAGATCAGATGAACAGGATTTCTTTACTGACTACAACAGGGTATAATAGAAAAGGGGAGACTGAGCACACTGTCACAGAAAACAGCATGAATGATGCCCTCTATTTCAGTAGGGCAGGAGACAGATTCTTGCAGAACAAGTTATAGGTATAAACGAAAACAAGGACCTGGTGATGTACACACAGTTTTTCATTTGGAAAACAGACATTTTAGAAAGTAATAAGTTAGAAATATTTCCTTTTCCCTGCCCTTTTTTATTCAAGTATAATAATTATTTTCATATTTTATACATTATCTTCCAATATCATCTTAGAAGATGGAGGTAAAAGTTAAAGTTATAACATACGAACTAATTTCAGATTCAATTTCAGTGTAACTTTAGGCTCACCTTCAGGGCAAACTTTTACCCACATAACTTCAGGTGCAAATTCAATTTTATGTAATTAAGCATTGCCAACAGCACATGCTTTAATTTAAGAGAGATTTATTTCAGGTTAGTCAATTAAGGAACCGGTTGATTAACTGAAGCAAGGCTTCCTTATACCAAAATCAAGACTTTGCAGTGCCCCTTGCATCATAAATCTGATCTCACTCTTTGAATGTCAGATTCTTGTGGTACATGAGATTCATTTATGTGATCTCCACCCTCTAGCAGAAAGTTTAAGCTAAAGACTTGAAGAAAACTGACAAGTGAAGAAGGGCACGAAGTTCAGGATAATTTGCTCCCTAGAGTAAGTCAGAAATGGCATGTCCTAGAAAGAGAATCATACGCAAGCTTGCAAAGTTCAGGGAGGAAGCAGCAACATCTGTACAAATATTCCCAGCTAAGTAAAGGATTTTCTCTAAAATGCTAAAATGTTAGAAAAATGGCACATTAAACAATATCTGGTTTTAACTCGTGTCCAAGTTACAAACTTAGGCAGAAGAAGCATCTTCCTAACTTAGTGAAAATAAGTAATTTGTGGACAGCTGTAGCAGAGTTTGAGAAACTGTATGTCAGAATGTATTTATGGGAATATGATAGCATAGATTAAAAGTTGTATTTGTCTCCATGCTATCAAAATAAATCTTTAGGAATCAAAACTGCGTGACGAAACAGGAAAGGTATTACTGAGGCAGCTGTGAACTGCCCAGCACAAATTGTAGCACTTACTGAAACCTTAGGGGATGTTAGAGAGACTTGAAAACAGAGAGCACAGCAAGAGCAGGAGACTTCATTTATCAGCATAGAGACAGCACTGCAGACAACGCACGCTTTTGGAAACTATGTATGACTGTTTAGCAGAGCAGCTAACCTGAAAGACCACAAAAGGACCTGATTTAGTTTCAAAGAGCAGCACACTCCCCATGGGTCGTCAGAGACCTACAGAAAGTCCCTTCTGTAATAATGACAGTAATGTATTGCGAAGTAACACTTTTACAAAGAAAAAATAAAGAAAAATATCTTCTACAAGTACTTCGGAGTAGGAGCTACATATAACAGTGAAGTTGGTTGCAAGTGCAGTTCACCAAGTACAGTGCTGGGAGACTGCATGAAGATGGCACAATCTCTGAGTAAGTACATTCTAACGAAACCAGTGTATGGATCTCTTTTCCCCCTCATTTCCAAAAATAGAAATTTCTTTTAAAAAAATGTAAAATTGCACTTACATTCAAATGAAGAAATGAGAAGTCATAAATTAAATGCAAAACCACAAAAAAAGCAAGTGATATCACTTACTGTAGATATACAAATAAATAGGAAAGGGATTTTCAGCGTATCTGAAGCAGAGAGCCTCTCAGAGAGACAGTGGGAGAAATAACTTATCTAGGTATGAAAGGAGCAGTGGAAGAACAGATAAAGAAGTTACTGAGAGCTGCAGAAAAGTTATTCATCCTTGGCTTCATTTTTTATTACAGACATCAGTATGCTTTTTACAAGAAGGCATCTGGAGGACTTTCTGATATTTAAAGTGTCAATAGATGAGGCTTGAGAATAAAAATAATACATATTAAGCAAATTTCCTAGATTTTCTCAGTATCTAATGGTGGACCGCTTTATACCACGGTGAGTTATGATATTTAAATGAGTTAGGAAGAAAAAGGAGTTAGGAATAAAATGTGTCCAGCGACACATTCTGCTCAGAGAGTCCACAGAGGGGTTCTGAACCTGCCAGTACGGTCAAGGAAGAGTCAATCCACCACCAACCATATCTCAAAATCTTGTCTGACACTACTTGATATAAAAAAGACAAGAAAATAAGTTAGAGCAGGCACAACTCCTTATCCTATTTTGTGACCCTTCACCATAGTGCATCTGATACTTGCAGTTACCGAGGGAGAGACACCGAGGTACCTGTCTGCACCAGGCAGCCCTAACAAAGGGTATCCCCTCCAGCTGCAGACTGAAATTGCTCAAATGACAGAATTTTCTATACTAGCAGACATGAAAGTTAAAACACCTCTTTCAGATGTTTTGACACATGAGTCAATTCATTTTTTTGGGTTGATCTTGCCTACTCAATCCATCACTTGAACCCCAGAGACCACCAGTGCAACAGAGGGCAGAAAATGCAATTGCAGGAGATCACTGGGAAAAGCTAGAAAATAACACTTTAATACACTGTAAGAAACATAAACAGGCCCAAAACACCTACTAATATTTTTTTTCCAAAACTCATCTACCAGTGAGCATAGCTGATTAGCTATAAAAGCTCTGTATTACTGTGCAAGGTGAGTGGGAAGTGAAGTGGGCACCAGAGGTGGAGAGGAACGTGGATTGAATCTCAAAGGAAGAGAACTGTTAAAAGGCAGGAACTGAAAAGGACCAAAACCCTGGCATTCTTTTTTTCTAAAATCTTCTAAATAATTATAGCTTTACTTACCACTTCTGTTTCTCACATCCTCCTCCAGTCCTCCACATACAGCTTTTCTGTCCCTCTGTGAAGCTTAACTCTGCATTACTGCCCTCTCATTTCAGTGGAATTCCTTCATTTTCTACCAAAGCCATAAACATTTGATCTCAGAGCATAATGCAGTGCACTGAAAAACTTGTCCACAAGATGCTTTTTTGTATTCATTGCTTTTCACTCATACACAAAAAATTACTAACTTCTTCCTCACAGTATACATTCTAAGAATGTTAGAAACTTAAGAAATGGGAAGAAGAGGTCGAAAAGTCTAACTCTTAATAAAAAGCAAGCTGCTGAGCTGCTCTATTGAGCAGTTCTGGCTCTGTTGGGTAGACCCCAGGAACACAAGAACAGAGGCTTCACATCTAAAACTCTCACAATAAGGAATACGAAAAATGGCAAGAAGTGAGCTATATTAAAGATGAAACAATAAACTGTCCTCTGACAATTTATTGATAACATGTACAGAACACACATTTCAGGAAGTTATGATACATTATTAGCCAAATAAAATAAAATGCACATAATAAAAACTGCTGTTAACCAAATCAGTCAGTGAAATATTGACCTCAGAAGAAAAACAGTCATTAAAAATTAAACCTGGTTAGGAATTCAACCTGGATATCAGGCAGCAATGTGGAAATCCAGTGTAAATTTTCTTTTTTATTCGTATATGAAGTGATGGCAACATGCTCTGTTAAGATTTTAAAGAATGTCTGCTTAATGTCACCAAGCTAAGTGCTACATACAAGCACATTGTGAACAGATGGGTAGTGAATTAATAATGGAGCAACAAACACACGTAACTGTATACAGTACATACTGTGAAAGAATGAAAAATGATATACCCTAAAGGCAGAGGTCTAACAATTTATAACCCCTGCTTGTACCCTTGGGGTACACACTAACCGAAGGAAACAATAAGAGACTTCCTAGCCTGGAGGTGTGACTTACATCAATCCCCAATGTGTCATTAAGCAAAGATTACAAAGCTGTAATTTACAGGTTACAGTTGAGATCAGACTAAAGGGATCCATACATGGTTGCCACTCAACTCTGTCATTGTCAAAAAATTGAGCTGATGGTACTTTCTTAAAGTATTTTTATGAAAACAATGACCATTTTATATCTTCCTTTGGTGACGATACTCAAATAAAATAGAATTACCATCCCATTTTTTGTATCTGGAGGCTACTGCATGGACCTTCAGGAAAGACAGGAAAAGCATCTAAAGTAGTGGGGCAGATAGAATATCTACACAAATAAAATCAGCCTTTAAATGTGCTAATGTACTTCTAGAGAAATTAAATTTCTGATCTTAGCACTTTAGAGGCTCCTGGTATTCCGGGAACACATTTTCACATATGACAGACAAATGAGTTGGTTACAAAATCACAGCCCTTCTGAAGTTTATGTCTTTTTATTACTATTCAGCAATAAAATATTTTGATCTTCCTCTAGAGCTTGATCAAACAGTAGCAGTCAGATTAAAGAAACAACTATCATTTTCAATATTCAAAAAGTGGATATTCAATCAAGTCGAGCCTAATTTCAGTGGGACTATGAACACACACACACACACACACACAAAAATACTGTACATAAGACTCAGATCAGATCTAAGGTTCCAACTTAGCTAACTATTAAGTATCTCCACTTCAATTAATCCAACTAATTTTAAAAAGTCTGATTGCATGCTGCTTATGTTTACTCAAAAAAAAAAAAGTCATACCTTTATATCTGTAACACAAAAGCACATCTGCCACTAAAGCAGGTATGGAGGAAAAGTTAATTCCTGAGAGGTATTTCTCAATACATCCCTGTTTTTCAGCAAGCTTTCATGGCAATACACTATAGATATAAGATCAGTAGGGAAATGGAATTTTAAAGTATTTGCATTTTGGTTCATGCTAAACTTTTCTTCAAGTAATCACAT